TGTATATATATATATATATATATATATATATATATATATATATATATGGATTTAGATAATAACCTAGCCTCCTGATCAGAGGTTTCTGGTGATGGCCAAAGACATCTTCAAATTTACGTAAAGAAAGCCTTCAGGAAAAGTCCATTGAAGGCACACTTTGAAAAGATTATAAAGCAGGAAGGGCTATACAGGGACATCCAGAGAATCGCATAAACTAGAAGTACATGCTTATCAAATTTTCATCGAGAGAAGACAACTGAACATTCCATTCTAACTCATATCAAGGCATAGTAATCTAAGGTGAAAGAAAATGGTCGCCATTTAGCTGATTTCTGAATATCTTACCTGTGGAACAAAGAGACGTTCGTTAAGGGCAGCCCAAAATACAGGGAATACAGAATAATTCGGAATTATAATCTCAGAACAGATAACATGAAACCTATTTCCCTACCATACACCTTATCATTATTATCATAGCTGCTAGGAACTATATATACTTTCTTTCTAGCATTGCTTTAGGCATTTAACACACATAATCCCCATACAACCACCCTACAGTATTATTCTCCTTTTACAGATGAGGAGCAGACTCAAACTGATTGACTTGCCCAGAGTTCCACAGCTGGTATGTGGTGGACCCGAATTTGAACCTAAGTTTACTTAGCTCTAAAAACCTTGCTCTTTCCACTATACATAGTAAGAAACCTCAAAGCCCCATAAGATGAAGCATTATTCAGAAGGAAATAGGAAGGAAAATGAGCATTGTTTAAAGTCAGTGGATGGAAAACATAATATTGAGGTTGGCAGTTTTTCTAAATTATTTTATTTTTTATAACTACTTACTTATCTGAAACAGTCCTTGTCTTCAATAGGGCTGCTGTATAACAGATTGCTGCTGACTTTGGGAGGCTTATATCTGCAATAATAATTTTCAATTTAGGTAAGAATCACAAAAAAATATCTAAAGAATAGTTCATAGTACAAATTCAACAGATACATTATAGTAGTAGAAGCATGAGGACCTGAATTTGAATCTTGATTCTACTATTTACTAGCTATGCATCTTTGAACTAGCAGCAACTTCTTTAACCTCAGTTTTCTCAACATAGAAAAATGGTACTTTTTTGGCAGAGATTAAATTAAATTATGTCTGTGAAAGCCCTCAGTACAATGGTGAAAAGTACTCAACAAATGTTTATAATAATTTGCTTTCAATAAAACTATTCAAGGAAAAAGGCATAGAATAGTTAGAATTACTATGTAAAAACTCCACCTATTCAGAGACAAAAACTAAGATTCAAAAAACAATAAAAAAATGGGCTGGCTGAGTGGCTCAGCTGGTTAAGAGCTCGCTTGGGAGTGCCAGCTCTGAGCAGCAGGGCTGTGGTTCGGATCCCACATTGAGGGCCAGTGACGCTCGTCCTCTACAGCTAAGATGATGAACAACAGCTCGACCTGGAGCTGGGCTGCTGTGAGTCGCCGGCGACAGCATAGGCTGCAGCAGAGCTGCAATGGGCTGCCGTGAGCTACGTGAGTGGCTGGCAGCCAGTGTGAGCAGCCGGCAGCCAGTGTGAGCTGCCGGTAGCCACTGTGAGCGGCCGACCAATGACCGGCTACTGATCTGCCTCACCTGGGAAGAGCGCAATGATAAAACCAACATGGGCCAGTGAAACAATGTCCTCCACAACTAGACTGAAGAACAACAACAAAAAAACCCCAGCAATTTGTCTACCTGTCTGTTCCCCTTTCCTGATTCCCCAATGCTGTTCCCCTCCCCGCAATTCCCCAATTAAAAACAAAACAAAAACAATAAAAATATTTAAATCCAGGTGACACAACCCTGGATGGTTTTAATTTTTTCTTCTTCTTATGTTTTAGTATTTTCTACATTTTCTTAAATGACAATTTTTTTTAAAAACACAAAATTAATTGGAAACTATAATTATATAAATTAATTATATAAATCTTTTCTTACAGAATGCCCAAAACAGAAAATTAATCAATATGATATACCACATAAACAAAACAGTAAAATCATTCGATCACATCAATAGATGCAGAAATAGCATTTGAAAAAGTTCAACATCCATTTATGATAAAAATTCTCAGCAAAGTGGATATAGAGAGAACATACCTCAATATAATAAAGACCATATGTGACAAACCACAGCTAATATACACAATGGTGAAAAGCTGGAAGATATTTCTCTAAGAGCAGGACAAGACAAGGATGCCTCTACCCCCTCCTACCACTTTTATTCAGCATAGTATTGGAAGTCTTAGCCATAACAATCAGACAGAAAAATAAATAAAAGGCATCCAAATTGGAAAGGAAGAAGTAAAAATGTCACTATTTGCCAGATGGCATGATACTATATAGAGAGAACCCTAAAGATTCTACCAAAAAACTATTAAATAAATGAATTCAATGAAGTTTCAGGATATAAAACTAATATTCAAAAATCTGTTGTGTTTTTATACACTAATAACAAACTACCAGAAAGAAAAATTATGGGAAAAAAACCATTTAAAACTGCATCAAAAAGAATAAAATACCTAGGAATAAATTTAACCAAGGAGGTAAAAGACCTGTACTCGGAAAACTGTAAGACATCAATGAAAGAAATCTAAGAAGATACAAACACATGAAAGGATATACCAGGCTCGTGGATATTGTTAAATGTCTATACTACCCAAAGCAATCTACAGGCTCGATGCAATCCCTATCAAAATACCAATGGCATTTTTCACAGAAGCAGAACAAATAATCCTAAAATTTACATGGAACCACAAAAGATGCTGAATATCCAAAGCAATCTTGAGAAAGAAGGACAAAGCTGGAGGTACCACACTGCCTGATTTCAAACTATACTACAGGGCTATAGTAATCAAAACAGCATGGAACCAGCATGAAAACAGACACATAGATCAATGGAACAGAACAGAGAGCCCAGAAATAAACTCACACAAATGCGGTCATTTAATCTATGACAAAGGAGGCAAGGATACATTGGGCTGTCGAAAAAGTCATGACGCACTTTTGCAACGAAAAGCAGAAAAAAAATGTCATGACTTTTCCGACAACCCAATACAATGGGGTAAAGACAGTCTCTCAATAAATAGTGCTGGGAAAGCTGGACAGATACATGCAATAAAATGAAACTAGACCTCGTTCTTACACCACATACTAAAATAAATTCAGGGCCGGCGAGTGGCTCAGCTGGTTAAGAGCTTGCTTGGGAGCACCAGCTCTGAGCAGCAGGGCCCCGGTTCGGATCCCACATTGAGGGTCAGTGATGCTCGCCCTCTACAGCTAAGGTGATGAACAACAGCTCAACCGAGCTGGGCTGCTGTGAGGCGACGGCGTAGGCTGCAGTGGGGCAGCAGTGGGCTGCTGTGAGCTACATGAGTGGCTGACAGCCAGCGTGAGCTGCCGGGAGCTGCTGTGAACGGCCAACCAAAGACAGGCGACTGAGTGCCTCACCAAGGAAGAGCACAATGATCATACCAACATGGGCCAGTGAAGCGACGTCCTCCACAACTAGACTGAAGAACAAAACCAGCAATTTGTCTACCTGTCTGCTCCCCTTCCCTGATTCCCCAACGCTGTACACCTCCCCCCAATTCCCAATAAAAATCTTGAAAAAAATAAAATAAAATAAACAAATAAATTCAAAATGGATTAAAGACTTAAATGTAAGAACTGAAACTATAAAACTCCTTGAAGAAAATATAGGCAATAGACTCTCTGACATTATTTTTTTAACATGTCTCCTACAGCAAAGACAATAAAAACAAAAGTAAACAAATGGGACTACCTACATCAAACTAAAAAGCTTTTGCATCACAAAGGAAACCATCGACAAAACAAAAAGGCAACCTACTGAATGAAAGAAGATATTTGCCAACGATACATCCAATAAGGGGTCATTGTGCAAAATATATAAGGCACTTATACAACTTAACACCAAAAAACCAAACACTCCGATTAAAACATGGGTAGAAGACCTGAATTGATATCTCTCTGAAGACACACAGATGGCCAACAAACACATGAAAAGATGCTCGACATCACTAATAATCAGTGAAATGAAAATAAAAAACCATAAGAAGATGTCCCCTCACTCCTGTCAGAATGGCTATTATAAAAAAGACAACAAAGGGGCCAGCTGAGTGGCTCAGTTGGTTAGAGCACTAGCTCTGAGCAACAGGGTCACCAGTTCAATTCCCACATGGGCCAGTGAGCTGCTCCCCAGCTGAGCTGCCGCTGAGCTTGTGAGAGCACATGCTCTTAACAACAAGGTTGCCTGTTCAGCTCCCACATGGGATGGTGCAACTAAGATTGAACATGGTACCTTGAGCTGAGCAGCTGCAAGCTGCAAAAGGGTCGGCTGAATGGCTCAGTGTGCAACAAGGTTGCCAATTCGACTCCCACATGGGATGATGGACTAAGCCCCCTCCTCCCCTTCCCCCGACTCCCCGCAACTAGACTGAATGCAGCAACTGGACTTAGAGCTGAGCTTGCGCCCTCCACAACTAAGACTGAAGGACAACAACTTGACTTGGAGCTGACGGGTCCTGGAAAAACACAATGTTCCCCTTCTCCAATGCCCCAGTGCCCCAATAAAAAACTTAAAAAAAAAAAGACAAAACAAAAAAACAAAAGCTGTGGAGAAAAAGGAACCCTTGTGCATTGTTGGTGAGATTGCAAACTGGTGCAGCCACTATGGAAAATAGTATGAAGACTCCTCAAAAAATTAAAAGTAGAACTACCATATGGACCCAGCAATTCCACTTCTGGATATTTATCTGAACAAAACAAAAACACTAATTTGAAAAACTATATGCATTCCTATGTTTGCTGCAGCATTATTTACAATAGCCAAGATATGGAAGCAACCTAGGAGTCCGTTGTAGATGAAAGGATATAGAGGATGTAGTATATGTACACAATTAAATCTACTCAGCCATAAAAAAAAATGTAATCTTGCCATTTGCGACAACACGGATGGACCTAGAGAGCATTACGCTAAGTGAAATAAGTCAGACAGAGAAAGACAAACAGCATATGATTTTACTTATATGTGGAATCTAAAAAACAAAATAAATGAATAAACAAATAAGCAAAACCCCAGAAACAAACTCATAGAGAGAACAAACTGATAGTTATCATATGGGAGGGTGTGTAGGTGAAAAAAGTGAAGGTTACTGGGCTGGCCAAGTGGCTCAGTTGGTTAAGAGCTTGCTCAAGAGTTTGAGCTCTGAGTAACACCAGTTCGATTCCCGGCCCGAGCTGAGCAGCCACTGAGCTGCCAACAGGAGGCAGGAAGGCTCAGCTTAAAAAAAAAAAAAAAAAAAAAGTAAAGGGTATTAAGAAGTACAAAATGCCAGTTATAAAATGAGTTAGTCACAGAGGGCCAGCTGAGTGGCACGATGGTTAAGAACTGGCTTGGGATGATGCCAGAGGGCCCCGGTTCGGATCCCACATATGAGGGCCAGTGACACTGCCCTCCAC